TATTTCCCATCTATTTCTCCATGTACCATCATTGTGTGTGTTCCATTATTGTTATCCAGTACTTCAATATCGTCACTTGATCCATCAGGTTTTGTTACTCTAGCCTCAACCACCTGGAGTGGAATAACTTGTTTTCCTTGAATATCTCTAGTTGTTACCATGAAAGTAGCAGTGTCACCTTTGATCAGTTGTTTTGGGATATTATCAAGACTACAGTATTGTTGACATGCGTTTGTTGCCAGCATTCCTACAACATCTCTCCCTGGATGAGGTTTGAACTCTATTAAATCAGGAATAAGTTGTGGTTTAGTTTCCATGGTAATCAACCCATCAATTCGTTGTTGGTAAACTTGTTTGGCACTCAATATCTGTCCGGGATTCCCATGTTGCACCAGTGTCTCTAGGTAGCTACTAGTGCTGACTATGTTTCCATATTTCATCTCCAGTTCATCAACTTTGATTTCCATATACTTCACTCTAGCTGTGTATTCTATCTTCAACTGATCCACCAATCTCTTCTTCTTCTGCTTGACTGCTTCTATTTGTCTTCTCAGATCTGCCAAGATTTCATCCGTTTTCTTGTTTATTTTTGCTTCTTCTTCTTTACAATAGGTTTTCAGTTTCTCACAGGCTGCCTTGGCTGACTTTTTACTTGTCTCAGTTTCATCTGCTTTCACTTTTAACTTCCTGACCTTCCACTTCAATTTGACAGAATACTCATCCGCCACCTCTTTAATATATCTGTGTTGGTGTACTTTATGATCTATGATTGTACATTCCATACATATAGGTGTCTGACAGGTGTCACAGTAGTACTTTAACTGGTTACCTGTGTGGACATTGCAGTATTGTATCGGCTGTACAGCAAATGGCTTCTTGTTCTTTGTCTCTTGATATTCGTCAAGCGATAGAAGCCGATGAGATTGTGTTGCCTTGGTTTTTTTATGTACTCTAGTACAAGATGTACAGGAATACTGTTGGCATTCAACACAGATAGAGGTGACTTTATTTTCTTCACAAAATTCACACACTTTAGGGGTACCAGCTACCAGTTTCTCGGGTATCTTGTCTAGAAGTGAGCTCATGAAGAAGTTAGACTGCAGATCATTTACAGGTACCTCTACTGACCTGTTACAGGTTGGACACATCAGTATCGGCTACTCCTTTCTCAGCTAGTTGTACTAGACACTTCTTACAAAATGTATGTTGACATGGTAGTATCTTTGGGTCTGAATACCGCTCTAGACATATAACACAACACAGGAAGTCTTCATTAATCTCTGCCAAGACAGCACCAGCATCTACTACATCAAATGCAGCTACAGCCATGATTTGACAATAGTCTGTAATATACAATGTTAAAATAACACAAGTGGAGTAAGTCTAATATTATAGAATCTGAAGTGAAATCATATATGCCATATACTAACTCACTTTTAGTGTTTGTGTCTCTGGTGAAAGCAGATTATATACTAGTCCTGCATATGTGTTCATTGATGAAAGAATTTTAAATGCACACATTCCATTTTCATAATGTTGGGAAATCACAAAATTATGTAAATCACGATTTTGTTTTTTTGGAATTATATAATGGTCTAGAATTAGATCAATGGGCATTTAATGATCAAGCCTTAGGTTATGCTGGAATTGTTCAAAAAGGGACTATTATTCCAGTCCACGTAACTTAATTGGTACAAAGATGATTGCTTTTTAAGATCGGATTCAAAATTAAAACTATACTTATAATTAATTATAATCTCCTCAATATGTTGAAGAAATGGAACTAACAATGAAAACAAAGGGAGAGAGTGATATTACGTATCATGTGTAGATAAACTTTTCTCTGATTGGCAAAGGACAGTCTACACAAAAACATTGATTGAACGGAAAAACTCAACTGGGATCCCTCAAGTGGGGGGGGGGGGGCTGTGTGTTTACAAACAAAGATTTACTCATATTTTCACTAGCAATTATGCAATGTTATAGACACATTATATAAGTACTTTTTGTATGTGTGTAAATGAAATAATCGATGCACCGGTTAACTTGTATGACAGGTCTACAAACTAGTACTCATATGAACTTTATACACACTAAAAATGGTTTTGCCAATATATTTAGTCAACCAGTAATTTAAATACAAACAGATATGTGACTTTGGAAGATTTTGTTTCACTCATTGTGCCATGGAAATAGGTTGACATAGGATATATTTGCATAAAGCAATTGAAGAAATGATTGACACTTAAACTGAGTGTGTAATCAAAGAAGGATTGGAAATCATTGAAGTATATTTTATTTTGATCACAGACTTGCCTTTGTCTGAGATTAATGAAATTAATGAGGTCACATGACTATATGTCTATGTGGTATGTACAAGTCGTATCTCTTGTCAAAAATATTACTAGTTGCATGTCTTTATCTGCAAGAGTGGTTGAGATATTACACTTGTGCATATTACTGAGGTCACATGAACCCATTTATACAAGGTGGGTAATTAATATACATGGATTTCAAACCTGAAGTAATCATGTCTGTGGAATATCGGAAAGCACCGATTTACCTAAGAGGGGTTTTGTCTGGATATAATTTTTTATTCTTGGATTATGTTATCATAAGTGTTAAATTTAACATCTTGTTTGAAATGCTGTTACATGACAATTAAGAAAATACAGTACAAGACAACGTGTTGTAGAGAAATAAGCCACAAACACAGTGCTAAAGTTTCTCGGGTCACAAACTTGTGAACTAACCTCAAAAGATGGCTACTTTTGTTATGCAAAGTATTTCCTTGTATGTGATGACAATTCTTAGAAATCTTGAATACAATTCTCGCAATCATTGCATATTTTATATTTGTGTTATTATAAATTAAAGGTAACAAATATTTGTTTCATGCGAGAAGCAGGCATTGGATCTTCCTTTACAATTGTGACCTTCTCACTTCCCGGTACCGGCTAAAAGGGACTATAAATGGGAGGAGAACAAATAAAATGGGAGGAGAACAAATAATAATCCTAGGGCTGACAGGTCTACCGTCGCAGATGACTTCGGTACCATGCAAGGCATACAACACAGTGAAGACAAGTGGCATGTATCAATCAACCGGTTTAATAACAAATGACAGATTAGTCAAAATACACTTTACTTGAATTATAACACTAGAGGGCGCACTCAAAGGGTCACGCACTTGACCTGAGTTACCCAGGTGACCGTCACATAAAAAGCATTTGTTGGGACATGTCCCCAATGAAGGTATTTACTACTATTGCAAAATGTATATGCAACCTTACTACAAGTGGAACGCCAAACAATGCGAATTAACCTCAAATATGCGGTCTGTCACCATGGCAACACAGTCGGGACACAAATCAAAGTAACTTCCCCCACCTTTAACGAATATACTGGAGGTATACTCTCCTTTGATATTCCCCTTAACTAGTAACAATAAGTATAACTGGTAATAACAATTTCTCGGTAAAAGCTGTTTATATCATAACACAGCTAAACAAGATATCAAAACCAACAATACACTGTCAGATAATACTGTGCAAAACGCTACCAAAACTGTCAATAACTGTCCACGACGTGCGTGTTCACAACAGGCGATGCGGGAACTGATTGTCCTTGGTCAGTCACAGCTACAGTGCACTGGTCTATTGTTGGTCAATCAAAG